AATAAGACATAGCAAATGTTAATCAGAAATTGCAGTTCTGTATACCTGAATTTCCTTTAATCATTACTTTACTTGTGTGCAATGGGAGTGCGTTTGCAGTGCAAGAACACACTGTGGTGCCATCACGTGGTGGTGTAGGCTGCCGATCGCCAAACAGCGATTTTGATCCACCTGCCCCCTAACTCAGATAGTTTCCACTCCGGAGCTGTGCTCTCGGCTGTACGGTTAGGTGTGTTGTAGAGAATTAACACGTTGTAGCGACTTCATCAAAAGTGTGCAGTTTCGCAAAACAGGCTTAGGGCCGAGTGGGAAAAATGGCTAAAACTACGCCTAAAATGCACTAAAAACAAGACATATCCTAGATTTAGCCTATCTTTCTCTTAATTTAGTAATATCGAATCCTCCACCTGAAAACTACCCTCCTCCTCCAATACGTTTCCTCGCTTTGTTCGCGACAGATGTTGTCATCAGGCACCATTATCTTGGACATCATTATCACTTTGCTGGGCGTCGATGGTTGAGACCAGGTTTTGATAATCGACGTAAGATTGACGGCACGTGGCTCCAGACGTTGGATGTGTATGGTCTCTTGATTAAGGAGTGAAGGCTGGTGTGCGAGACTTGAAGGCTGTAACGCAAAGCCCCGGTTGGTAGCCGAAATGCGGGCCACAGACTGCAACGCAGCACCCACGTTGGGCGTGTTCGACACAGCTGGTGTTGTTTTGGAGGCCACTGTTGGACGATCGCCGTTATCAGTTTATTTGACTATCGGTTTTAGCAGACAGTCGGTTTGTGGTCGGTTTTAGTCGCCAATGGTTGTTCTGAACGCAGAACGCTAGTAGCCTCGTCACGTTTTTTTGTTTTGTTTAATTTTCCAATAAGTCATCATGAGAGCATAACCAAACTTGGTGCAGTTTGTAGAACTTGAAAGCTCACTAGCGAAAGGCAAAACACTCAGACCATAACGTCAAATTAACTCAGAGCCGGCAAGACATATGCATCGTGTAATTAAAAACATGCAGCATGCAGCAAAAAAGGTGCACGAGTGCATAGCTCTAAAACTATGATCAGCTCAATCAACTGCGCTCAGCTGAACATGACGGGGCAGATTTAATTTGGTTTGCTCTTTTAACCCGGCAAACCATTACTCCAACCCTCTAAAGTTGATATAGTTTTAAACCATTATTTTTAATGTTCTACTTGTGCTTAGACTTTGGAAGATTCAGGGAGCGAACATGCCGCTGGGGAGGGGGCAACTGGGACATGGGGACAATGGCCCATTCGAATCGGTGCGGATTGAAACCCGTTACTCAGATAGTGTACCCTTTACCCAAATGAACAGCGCCGCAAATTTCTTCGCTTAATTCACGGCAATGCAGATATTTAGAGATGTTTTGAAACCTTGAAGACCTATGCCATGGCATTTGGCCAGTTTCTGGGGTCCTAATAGTGCTGTTGCATGTTGTTGCGTTAGAGACCACTATTTTTAGTTCAAATTATACTAGCACAAATCATGATTCAGACACGATTTTGTTTAATTCACGACCAGAGTAGGTATCGGCCAAATTTACTTCCCAAAGAGCCGACTTCATTCACCATCCAAAGTTATTTTCATTTCAATACGACGAAATCTCCAATTTTATCTTTGACACGGACTTTTAACATGCGCTTGGGTAAGACAGGGAAGCAATATGCCCTCCACCCGAATGTTTTTGTCCAGAATGATTTCAAAAGAGGCCGGCGTAACCGCACAACTTTTTTTTAGCTATAGGCAATTTAATAGCTCACTCATTACTAAATAAGAATATAATGAATAGCGTACTGGTACTCAAAAATTCAATGTACTTTCCAAGGTTACTTGTCCCACATGAACTCGGGCTCCAGAAGGCTGAGGGGGGGGGGGGCAAACTCGCAGTTGGGGGGGGGGGAGGGCATATTGAACATTGGGGGCCAGTGGCTCACCCAAAAGAATACAAATCACCGCCAGTGTCCTCTTGTCTCTGAGCCACACGCCAGCAAAAATGGGGAAGATATATCGGGACGAGTATTTTAAAGTCACCTTGACATTCATGACGTCATAATAACGTCATTCAAACCCCGCCATTCCATAAGCCATGTGGCGATCAAGGCCAAGAAAGTAATGTATATATATATATATATATATATATATATATATATACATAGTTATCCAGGCGTGCATAGCTGGCGTTCGTGAGCGCTATTTCCAGATATAACGTCCGTTAATTGACTCTCAATCCATGTTGTGCGCGGTACGACGACGTAATCAAATTATGACTCATTGAGGAGCACATTTATTAAACAGAGAACTATGCCGTCTAGAGCTTCTTTTCCACTTAAAAGGCATAGGAAAAGTAATAATAGGGCTTGTTTCATCACTTCTGATGCCAGCTTTAATATCTTCAAATGTGAAACATTCCCTTTAAGGGATGCCAGTGTTGCGTTCTTTCAAACGTATTTGCAATGCCACACCAAACTGACAGAGACCATATAATGGGGTACTGCCAATTGCAAAATAACGCAGTACGGCTTTTTAAGAGCGAAGTATGCATTCCATTCGGTCTCGGCCGCACCAGTATTGACGGCACTCCCGTGCAACATTTTGACATTACTGCATAAAGAACGCCTCAACACCTTATCGCACACTGCAGGACCAGCACACCAACGCACCAAGCAGGTCCCGTCCGCGTCCAGGTGGACGTCTGAAGATGGATGATCACGGCCACTGAATCTTAGTCGATCATCCGAGCCGCTAACGGCGACGCTTTTACTGCAGCACAGTCGTGCAGGCCTCAGGACCCAAGCGGGACGGAGTTCTCAAGAGCACCGCCATCATTGCGGTGTGTGATAGAGATCAATCTCGGCAGTGTAATGTGTGATGGACGGCGTCCTGATCGTTCACATTAAACGGCTAGGAGCTGTGTGAATATATTGCGCGATGCATAAGTCGTCGCTGGGCACCCACATGCTCCCAAATCATTCATATTTTGCGGTATAATTGGGGCTTTACGACGCGCTCGCTATTGAGGATATGCGGCGTCGCCTGCCTTTCATCCTGACAGAGAAGGCGGACAACGTTCCTCTGGCTTTCAAGGTGCGGGGCTTAAAGGGAGTGTGCCACATTTGTATGGGGTTGCGAATGGAAATAGCCACCTCGAAAATCATTCGGTGCAGTTCACAGCCTTCCCTTCTTAGGGCCTGAATCCCTCTAGTTTCTGAGCTATACGCCCACGAAGATGTGCAGACTATTTCGTGCAGACTATTTCAAGGTCATTCAGGTACCCATGCCGCCATCATAATGTCGCTAAAATCATGCCATTTCATTGGCTTTGCGGTCATCAAGGCCAAGAAAAATATAATTGTGGAGCCGCCTATGCCCGGCGTTCGTGAGCACGATTTCTAGATATAATGGCTGTCAACTGGCTCTCGATCATAGTTGCGCGGGACACGATGACGCGACCAACCAATGACGTATTTAAGAGAATATTTACTAAAAAGAGAAGTCATGTTGTCTAAAACATTTCTTTCACTCCAGAGTATACCGATAGTTATGTGAGCTTATTTCATGCTACCTGATGCTTGCTTCCATACATCTCAACATCGAACATTGCTTTAAATCCTAGACTATCGATGTCCGCGTTTTGTGAACTTAAATCGAGTAGTGGCATACCACACTATCAGAGCAGTGAGTCGAACCAGTGATATGAAAGACTCACACAGCCTGTGAATGTCATAACGAGTCTTCGTGAATCGATTCGCCGGCTGAAAGCCACCCACGAGATGACGTCAACAAAGATCCTCTACATTTTTTAACTGGCAGCGATTTGAAAATCGGACGGGGCATCGCAAATTTGACGTTAAAACACACGCGCACACACCTGTGTGCTAGTAACAAGCCTCTTGTGGCTTTAGATGAGCGAGGTAATAACGTGCTTGATTGCTAACCATACACGATATGCAGATGGTATCTAAACATAAGCGG